TGATTTAATGGTTTTGGTTTGAGGTCGATTCGATATGTATATCATGAGTTCTGAATTTTCTAAACCGAGCATGCGTCTGAATTGTAATTAATTCATTATAAATCGTTTGATTGCCCGAATATCGTGATATTTTATATGTGATGTCCTGAGATGATGTTGTAGGTCATGTAAAATGTTCAAGTCGAAACTCCATCTGTAGCTATTTTAATCAATTAAATCGGTTTCTGGTCAGAATTTTGTAAAATTCATTAAAACTCGTACAGTTGGAGTTTTGATCTAAAACTTTGAGGAGTATGTTATTTTGTGCTATTTTGTGTTGTGTCAAAATTTTAGATTAAAATTCAAAGTGTGGCTACATGAACTGTTAACGTCGGATTTTGACACTATTTTTGATTTAATTAATTAAAAATGCTCACAGATGAATTAAGAGCTGAAACTTGGTGAATCTATGTGTTTTTGTATGCTCTTTGATTTGGTAAAGTTTCAGGTTTATTGGCTGAGCCTAACTCCCGTTGTTATATTTTGTTCATTTTAGAGTTTAAACGCTCGGTAATCCATTGTTTAGGTTCGGGTAGAATTTTGGTTATGTTGGCATGACTTATGTGAATTACATAAAGTGTATGAGTTGTGTTCAGGTCTAGAAGTCACTCCACAGTACTTAACTCGGTCAAGGATTCCACGAGTCACTTAGTCGATATGATTTCGGCTAAGTATATGTGTTTTGTGTGTTGTCTTGTAGTGGATAGTCAGTTGATAGACTATTATAATTATTGTAGGTTCATCGAGCTGAACTTTTGCCATTATTCCTTCAACCCTGTGTTTGGCTATATCTCGGTATCCAGGTGGGTTTTACTTATAAAATTTGCTATGCCGTAAATAATTTATTTGTTGTTTGGGTTGGTATGATCAATGCATGCTTGTGAATTTGTGTAACCTTCGTTGTGAGTTGTATGTCCTTCGAACGGTTGTCCCCGTCGTTGAGAGCTGTATGTCCTTCGACGGTGCCCTTGTGTGGCAATCTCCCTAAGTCCTAATGATAGGCCATACGTTGAGAGTTGTATGTCCTTCGGTATGCACTCCCATTGTTGAGAG